AAGCTATGGTCAACTGTTGCCTTTTGTCAAACATGTCTTTCTTCTTATATGAACGAACGCCTCCTTGGATGGCGGGGAATGCCCATGATCTGCCCCTGCCTTCCCTTGAGGGCTGACAATTCTACCTAGGGCTGCCTTAAGGACGACATTCCGGGGGCCACACCTGTTAATGGTCAAAGAGGACACCACACAAATGAGGCAACATCTCGACCCACACAAAACAATGGCCACAGTCAACCTAGAAATAGGCTTGACGTCGTCCCCCGAAGTCGGAGTACATCTGCCGGAGAGGCGGGGAACGAGAACTGCGAACAAATAAGCCAGTAAAACAGATGTACACGCAAAACTCAGGTCAAGGTAAAAGCCAAAAGTCCATTTTGGACGAACAACCGCGACTTACCGCCGGAATTCACAGCCGGTGAACAAGAAGAAGAAGAAGAATTTGAACGAACAGATGTTGTCTCTTTGGTTGACGGTGTTTCCTTCTTGTCACCCCCAGGAGTAGAACCATGGCAAACAGTTTTCTTGGACACTAGACTGTCAACATCTGCAGATGTTCATGCTTCCTCACCAAAACTCCACTCGATGTCATTAATACTGTATTAGACAAGTATGGCAGCTCACACCGACTACACCAAGCCTAACTTGTACCTAGCCCTATTGCCAGTTCATCCCTACCTACTTCTCACATGGGTAGCAATTATTTCCTAGCGGCTTGTAACTAAAGTGAATAAACTTGTTGCTTCAGAAAATATCTAAACGCGTCATGTTCATCATACATTTGAGAATAAAACTATATCATACAAGTACACAGTCGTGTTAAGGTGTGAGGTGTGTGCACTGGCGCCTGAGAAAGAACACAAATAAACATGAATATACAGTGATAGCTCGGAGTTCAAGCTTAATTAGGGTGACCATATCGCTCTGTTTTCCCAGGACAGTGTAGTTTTTTTAAAAATTGTTTATGTGTGTGTGTGTGTATGTATATATATATATATATATAATATATATATATATATTATATATATATATATATATATAAGTAGGCCCAGACCGTCGATACAATACTTTTAACATAGGGTGTGTTTTTTTAGATACTACTCATGAAAGTCACCCCATCTGGTCGGGGGTGAATTTCGTACCAGTTCCCACGGACGTCCTATGTTGCAGGGGTGTTAGGAGATAGCTTCCTTCGCTGGCTATTCACAGTCTATCGAAAAGAGGCTTGAATTTGTTCGATGAGGTGGACACAGTGTCTCGCTGACGAAACTGTGCAACTTTCTTTTCGGAACTCTCTTTTCTTTGAACGACGGTTGTTTCTGGAATGTGTTGTTGTTCTGATTAGGTCTCAGGCATCAAAGGCGCTGTTTGTAAGGAAAAAGTACTGCAGGCGGAAGCGACGAGGATGCCACGGTTCATGGGTATTGAATCACTGATAGTTTTTGTACTTTTACGCTCGTTGGCGGTGGCTATCATTGGTGTTGGATGTGCTTAAACAGAGACCGAATTTCAAATCGTTCGCGTTGCAATTCAGTTATTCCCACGGGAATTAAAAGAAACTAACTTAATATGTTCCATAGTCATTTTGTACATATTTAATATCGTAGCAAGTTCACAAATACAGATAACACTTTCAAACTTAGTGGTAAGATCTATCTGAATGGCAATTGTTGATCAACAGTTTTTTTTTTATTTTTTTTTCCAACCGTAATTAATTTACTAAGTGTTTTATAAAAGTGAGAGAGAGAGAGAGAGAGAGAGAGAGAGAGAGAGAGAGAGAGAGAGAGAGAGAGAGAGAGAGAGAGAGAAATTTGCAAAATTGGCTAAGAAAAATCCTAACAATATGACAAGCCGACTGAGGAGACGTTCAGTGTAGCGTAAAAAGACAAACTGATGCGCAGTCGGAACTGTGTTGTGGCGCATGGCTGGCATTGCGGCGGCGGCATTCAATCTCCAAGGCAAAATTCTCTTTAAAATGTCGGGCCGACTCAGTTTCAATAGTTTAGGCTGTTCGGAGTTCAAACTGCTGGAATTTTGAACCGTTCAAATTCCGAGATACCACTGTACATGACAGTGTACCTCAACACACATAGACAGTCGCAGCACTGTAGGACGGACACTTGCCTGTCTGTCCTAAAGTCTTGGATACGAATCCGCATCAAGCGTGTCTGAGGGTTTGGATATGATTGTTGGCATTATGGTTTACTAGTAGTAAATTTACTAGCAGTAATTTCACCAAAGGCGGGTCTAACTGTAGAAGAGTTTGTATTTGACAGTGACTATATTTTGGGTACAAGTCTTGGAAATGGCAGGCGTTATGAAATTATGCTAGATGTAACGAGGAAAGATCGGCTTAAGAACACTGATATCAGGAGGAGAATGGCACATAATCAATAATGAACTTTATAGTTAGACAACAAATCAAATGGTTTGACCATGTAACAAGATTTGCAGCAGACAGGACACCACACAGAGCAATGTTATACAGATTCAGCAGTAACAGTTCAGAGATCGACCACGCAGATCATGGACTGCAAAAATATCAGACACTGAAAAGTTCTTTATTCTAAGCGAACAGAAAAGCCCGTTCTATAGATCTCTACCTCCCCGGACGCCGCGATGCATTCCAGGAGCAGAGAAAAGAAACAGAGGAAGTCGTGGAAATCATTTCCAAATTGTATTACCTTTGTACACAACAGCCAAGAAACATCACTCATGGCCAGTGGGTCTGCTGTGAATCTATGGAGAAAAATACTCGTAAACCAACCCAAGTATTTGGACTAGAACTCTGAGCATGCAATTGTTATGTATCCAGTTATGGAATACTTGATTTTTTTACTCATAGGAATGCGCTTCTTAAACCTGTCATCTCCCCCTTGTCGGCAGGTCAAGTTTTTTTTTTTTCACTTTTGAATTTAACCGTTGGAGCGGCAACCAGCAGTGTTGTCAAAAGTTCACGGTCAAGGCCAGGGATTGCAACCAGCAGTGTTGTCAAAGGTTCACGTCAAGGCCAGGGATTGCAACCAGCAGTGTTGTCAAAGGTTTACGGTCAAGGCCATGGATTTGCAAACCAGCAGATGTTGTCAGATGTTTCACGGTCAGGCCTGGGATTGCAACCAGCAGTGTTGTCAGAGGTTCACGTCAAGGCCAGAGATTGCAACCAGCAGTGTTGTCAAAGGTTTACGGTCAAGGCCATGGATTGCAACCAGCAGTGTTGTCAGATGTTCACGTCAAGGCCTGGGATTGCAACCAGCAGTGTTGTCAGATGTTCACGTCAAGGCCAGGGATTGCAACCAGCAGTGTTGTCAAAGGTTTACGGTCAAGGCCAGGGATTGCAACCAGCAGTGTTGTCAGATGTTCACATCAAGGCCGGGGATTGCAACCAGCAGTGTTGTCAAAGGTTTACGGTCAAGGCCAGGGATTGCAACCAGCAGTGTTGTCAAAGGTTTACGGTCAAGGCCGGGGATTGCAACCAGCAGTGTTGTCAAATGTTCACGGTCAAGGCCGGGGATTGCAACCAGCAGTGTTGTCAGATGTTCACGAAAATCAATCGTGATAGAACTGCCTGCGTTTATTTGACACTACTACACGTCAAATGTGCAAAATATTTGCACGGTTACCCACCAAATAATATGGCTGCCCTAAACCGTTGAAATAGAAGAGGGGTTAGTAACATGTAGCGAATTGTATTAGAATGTATTGTTGTAGTGAAAGAGAGAATGTTGTGAATATTCACAACCGTCTTTTGGTGTGTAAGGAATTTTTGCAATCGACAGGAGTCAGCCAGTCGCTGGGTTCAGAGAATCAAAGAACCAGGAAGTGAAGCTACAGAGCTGCTTGATAACTTTCGGGCAACACTATATAGTGTCTTTTCTGGGCCAGCGGTCCCCCAAAGCACTGCTTTGTTTATGCCCGTCAGTGACATGAGCCGCATATGGTATATATATACGTAGATAACATATTGTATTGTATATATGCATGCTGTATGGCTCTACAATCCACCCTGAACAATCAGTCAAATCACCACTAAAGAGACAATATGGGCTGGTCTTACAGCTGTCAGTCAGCAATAGTAGGGAACATCGACAATTGATAAAAATGTCGAATATTGTTTCTAAGGTATCTTTGCGGAAGATGGGCTCCTATTCGTCTTAAGTCCCTCACAATATCAACCGATTGCGAACAATGCTTGGCTCCCGTAAAGCACTTTCCTGTCGTCTGATTTGAATCCTTGGATCTTGTTTCACCGAATCTGAACAGAGATAACTTTTTGGCTAAGGCGGTTAAAGGTGAATAAATCTGAGCGCGCGCACACTCATGTGTATATATCTGAACATTATCTCGTTGTTTAAATTGCTAACACTATTGCCTCTTTAAACGCTTTGGGGTTCCCCTGTTTGTTCCAGGGTTCCATTGTAGAGATAACAAGCATGTCGTAATATATATATATATATATAAATTTCTGTAACCTGTGGTGTCGGTTTCAATGGGTTTGCCACTAACCAAGCACAAGACCACAATGACATTCTGTCCGTATTGCCACAGTCGTGGATTAGATGCAAGCTGTACGTAGACATGGCCAATGATACACCTTTTTGATATGGAGGGTGCCTTTAGTTGACCATGTCTCTTAGTATGCACTTGTATTCCACCTTACAATGGCGAGGCGCAGACGCCCCGTCTGAAGTGGACAGGTTCCATTCCCCGGCACGGTAACTTATAAGCTTTCGATTTTTATGTTGTCTAGTGTGTTCTTCTATCTTTCTACTTCTTTCTATGAGTGCCGTTCACAATACTTTCTGTTACTTGATTAATATCTACCGAATACAATATTTGAATTTAGCAGATTTTGTTTCGTGCCGATAGCTGGAGAAAAATTACCCTGGAAGACATCAACTTCCGGCGGGAAGAGCAGACGGTTTCCCCCACGTGTAAGTGTAAGAGCAACAGCCCACAACCGGCCTGCTACTGGGAGCGATACGACGCAGTTTTCACACAAAATGCTTGTTCTTTTTGAATCGGCAGCGGGCTACGCCTTGTTTAAGGTAAATACTGATTATTGTTAAATCATATGGCTTGTGTATTTAATTCTGATCATGAAGTGTGCACACTAGGAGGAAAATTATTTTAAAAATCAGCGAAATTTTCTGGTCCAGGACAGCACCGCATGGCCATGGCACATTTTACTTTCTTGATACATTTCTTCAAAATTCTCATGGTAGCACAGTAATTGAGTGATGTCGGTTACTGACTATATTATGCTCTGATAAACATTGGTAGTACTGAATTGTTTGATAGCTGTACCACTGACCTGCAATGTAAATTTGTAATAAATAAATCACCCACCTATGACTTTTTTTGTCCCCCCCCCCACCCCCCCCCCCCCCCCCCACCTTTTAGCCGGCAAATTATAAATATTTCCGTACATCTAGTAAACACGAAGTAAAGCATTTGAAAAAAAAAATACCGTAAAATTAAAATTTATTGTATTTAAAATCGTGGGCGGTTATTTTTGGCGGACCACGAGGCACGAGGTAAATTTCCAACACCCACGCTGAAGAACATGGTATCATATGTAAAATGTAGATGACCGAAACCTTGACGACTTCTGATAATGTGCACTCATTGTGCATTGTCTATTTTATTTTATATTTTGATAATATTCTAAAGACAATTTGTGATTTGTTTGCAGTATGACAGTAGTGACTCTTGTAACAGTGATGAAAAATTTATTTATCAGATTTATCTTTTTTTTTTTCAAATCCTTTCCTATTGTGATTTTACCAGTGTAAACTCTGACCTAAAGTTATGATTGTTCATCCTCTTCTGGTAATGTTCCAGAACATGCACAGCTGTTTTACATAGTTACATAGCTGAGAGCTGGCTAATTTATCTGCAGACTTTCTTGCCTCTAAAGGTGATGCACTCTACTTAGAAGGAAACCCCTAGTGGACTCTTACAAAATGCGAATTCCATTGTCCTCTTCAATCGCATTCTTGTTATAATGGGGGTGTCTGGGTATCTCTATAACTGGGGAAGCTCGCGGTATACTCAAGTGAACTTAGGGGTCTTGCAACAGTCGATGGAGCGCTACCTGAAAATTCATCACTTTTATTATCTTTCATTTTATGAATAAGTTAAAGTTAATCATTACTTTGTTTCATTTTTACATTGTTTTTTAAATCTAGCTTCTTGATGAGTCTAAACTGCTGAATGTGGAAAACCTCTATCGGGAATTTGAAAGTCCAGGGAAAGCCTCTAAAATGTAAGCATTGTCCAACAGACTTTCTCTGTTGGTAGAAAATAGAACATTTGTCTTGGGTACTGATTCATCTTTAATTCTAGTTGATTTACTCACCTGAAAATAAAAGATATTGATCACATACAGCTGTTCACATTTAAAAGTCTAAAAAGACTGGTTTTCACATTGTGATGTGTATATTGGTTACAGGCTACTTTCAGCCCACAAATTTAACTGCAGCAAACTTGCTAATTAGTTGCATATAAGGACATGCTTGATGGGAAACAGCAGATCTCTCAGTGCGAACTCACGTGGTGTACAGATGTTAATAGTTTCCTGTGAACACATTTTCCCCCATACCAAACAAAGACCATAAGTGTAGTATTTCTCAGTTGAAATGGCGAACACACAGTAACTAAGAAACAGGGGGAAAACATTTGAAAGTTCAAGTTTTAAGGCCATTCTCAATAGTTAAGGCATTTGTTTGTAGACAAGGCTCCTATAAAACACACATAGTCAGTTATAAGACCTGTAGACATTAATGACTTCAGACATTAAAAAACAACATTAATATAGTCACTGATATCCTGCACCTTTGCCCTTGATTACTTTCAGTTTGAAACTCAAGCACTTTGAGAAGTTTGAGAACATAAATGAGGCAGTTGCAGGTACTTCTTTTTGTTTCCCTGTTTAATTAATTTTGACTATTTTGATGTCAGGACAATTAAATTAGTTATAAATCATATTATGTATTCTTCAGTATCCAGAGAGTTAAAAGGTAGTTACCTGTGCTAGTTGTACATCCATGCTTCTTCTGAAATTCAGCTTTTTTGTCATGTACTATTAAGCTTTATTTTCTTTCAAACTACTTGTATGCTTATTTTCTTGTTTGTAGATAACCATGTTCTTGTGATAGTTGTTGTAAATATCTAGTAAATCTGTTGATGCACATCCTTACCCCACTTTAAAGATATTTATCATAGAGTGGTTTTTACTTGTGCAACATCAATTCTGGTGTTAATTAGCGGCCTGGCTCTATTAGTTAGCCAAAGTTGTCAGTCTCACCAGGACATAATGCCATCACATATGTCTCTATATGCGATTACAAGAACCACCATCTGTCTGATGTACAAGCTGATCTTTTTGGACAGTTATTTTAGATGTCCAGCCAAAAAGATAACCATTGAATTGGAGAAAGTGCAGGTGGCGCTATAATTTGTCACCTATCTGAGGGAAGTTAAGGGCACTTTACTGTATTTAAGATACTCAGCACCTCAGATTATAGGTGCCAGCAGGCTTTACTGGTTATAGGATCACAGTGCAAGACTCGCTCATCCTTGTTGCATGCTATAGATAATGATCATCCTCTGTGCACAGAAAACATATATTAAAAAAAGGGATTTGGAACGGAAGTGAAGGATATTTCTGTATACTTTAAGTCTATTTAATGGTTTGTCTAAATAAATATACTCTTGACATTTCTCTCTCTCACCTGCAATGATTACATCCTACTTTTGGATAGCTTCTTGTTTTTAATGTTATCTTTTCAGCCTTAGATTACAATATAGTTGTTTCTCTAAAGTAAATTTTAATTCAAAGCAAGAATTGTAGCTGGCGCATGAGCTTTATAATAAAAATTTGCATTAAATTTTGAATGTACTAAAAAATTTCTTTGTGTACACACATAACGACGGTTTAATTTTTTTTGGTCATGTACTATTTATTATTCTTTGTTCTTGTGATTGTTGTAAATGTGTGTTTCCAAGCCAAAAAAATACCTGTAGCTTATCTAGGGAATCTGTTAATGCACATACTTACCCCACTCTAAAGATATTTATCATAGAGTGGTTTTTACTTGTGCAACATCAATTCTGGTGTTAATTAGCGGCCTGGCTCTATAAGTTAGTCAAAGCTGTCAGTCTCACCAGGACATAATGCCATCACATATAACTGTCTCGATACGTGATTACAAGAACCACCATCTGTCTGATGTACAGCTGATCTTTTTGGACAGTTATTTTTGGAGCATAAGCTTTTTTTTTTTTAAAAAATTGAATTTATTTAATCACTGTTGATTTTTTACGTTACAATGGTTTTTTTCTCCACAGCAAACTTGACCGTGGAAAATGACAAGGTCAGCAAGAACTTGAAACGCCTGGTCAAGAAGCACATTCTTAAAGATGCCGAGGCTGAGCTTGCAATAGCAGATGCCAAACTTGGAAAATTATTGAAGGTACTTATAGTCAATGATTGACATTTACTTTTTGGGGTATGACGTGGAAAGCTGTCATGTATTAAGCCTGGACTGGTGCACAAGGACCAGAACTGGTCAGGACCTGTGTGACGCTATCTTGTAAAAGTTGCCACGACGTTCGTTGCAAAATTCTAACAGGTTTTTGGCTGGTATAGAATGTTTGCTAAGTCTTCGAGTGCACTGTAGAAATAATTTTTTTTAAACCCATGGTAATACAGTAAACTGCTATATTTACACTCTATAGTTCTTCGCCTCTGGCCTGAATGGGACTGCTTAGACTCCTCACCCACCTGTCCTTCCTTTTTTATTTATTCTTCTCTCCCTAGTTATCACCCCTTGTCCTTTATCCCATTTCCTCTGGAAGTGTTGCTGATCTGTCACTACTAGTTTGTCTTAGCAGGTGATTCTTGGTTCATCTCGTGCACTTTAAAACCTGGAAATATTTTTTAGAATTTCTCTGTCTGCAACACCTGGTCATAAACACTCCTATAATTAGTCAAAAGAGGTCACATCGTATCTGTTAATTCCCTTATTGCTACTTTCTTAAAACTGCATTTCTACATGATCATTCTCAAACACATTTCTAGTCAGTATAGATATCAACATGCATAACTGCCAGAGCAGTACAGAACTTGATGTATATGCATCTCAAGTTCCAGAACTAAAGAACACAGTTTTACAGTTGTAAATATCACGTCTACTGTCAGCTACGTGATTACATGTAACTGGATATTTTTGATACATTTCTGCCTTATTTCAAAAGTATTATAAACATCCATTAAAGGGCAACCCTAGCTAATTTTTTCTAACCATAGATTTTACAGAAATCTGTGATTTATAATTGATTGACATGATGGAGGCATTAAAGAAAGATTTTCTTTAGAGATGTCTGATATTCACTATTATGAACTGTCATCTGCTGTGAATGTTTTCAGAAAGAATTTGACCTCAACTGTGTGACCAACTCATCGATTCAGGAGCTAATGAGGAACATCCGAAGCCAGCTGGACAGCTTCATCAGTCCATTGGTGGACGCCAGCCACCTGGCCCAGATGTCTCTGGGTTTGGCTCACAGGTAATGGGGCTACCTTGTTTTACTGGTGGTGTGCTTCCTGTATTTGACATTGTCTATTTGTTATTACATGCTTGCCTAGCAGCCTAAAGATTCTATTTGTGAATCTGCCTGTGTCAGTAAACGTGGCTAGCTTCATGATGACCAAACAAGTGTCGATTAATCTGAAAAAAATATATTTTGTTGATTAGTCATATATATATATATATATATATATATACATAGACTTAAGCAAATTCATATAACTGTAGAAGTTGCTTTTTGTATGTTCTTGGTTTCACGCAGCTGACTTTATGTGTGTGTGTGTATTATTTATTTTACACTTTTTATGGATCTCGTATAGCATATGGCCCATAATTTACAAATCTTTTTAAGGTTGTTATTCTTGACTTAAAAAATAATTTTTTTCCCAAGTGTTTCTAACAAAAATATATCCTTATATTTCTCACTTTAAACTGGGCATTTTTTCAACTCACAGGGCGTGTTCACACATGTCCTAGATGGGTTGAAAAGTGTCCAGTTTAAAGTGAAAATGGTATATATGTGTGTCATTAGTCATGCCTACCATGTTGGCGCACTTTACAGCCAGAACCAGAGCTGTTATAAAAGCACAATGACCTATGCCCAGACACTTCCTGTCACCAGTAACGGTTTTCTCTGGGCTTCAGCTACTTTTAAAGAAAAAAATTCAGCTTGTCATTTTTCGCAGTCAGGTTGGCTGCAGAGGAATGTGACACAGTGAGTTGGATATAAAAATATACCTGGACAGTTGAGCATAAAATGTGTGACAGGACAGCTAGAGATGTAGCTCGTTACATTTTTTTTCTTCTACAGTTTGAGCAGATACAGATTAAAGTTCAGCCCTGACAAAGTGGATACCATGATTGTACAGGCTGTCTGTAAGTGACTTTTCTGTTTCTGTAAAGTACTAGGAAAATAAATGATTAGTATCCTTGTATCATTACTTATACCGCCATCCATGTAACATAACACACCCTATCTGTGTAATATGAAATGTTTAGGCCAGTTACATGTTGTTAAAAGATAGCAGGTTGTGAAGAGGCATGATTGCCCATGTTTTTTCAGCAAATGCAAACTATCTGTTAGGAAGGAATGATAGTCATACATCATATCATTGGTCACCCAGCTAAGACGTTTTAGATGTGAAATACTTGTGTTTTGACACTTTTTCTCTCTCTATAAACTAGCACTGCTGGACGACGTAGACAAGGAGCTAAACAACTACATCATGAGGTTGAGGGAGTGGTACGGCTGGCACTTTCCTGAACTGTCCAAAATAGTCACTGACAACTTGGCATATGCAAGAACTGTCAAAGTCTTAGGTGAGTGACACATGTGTTGTATCTGGGCAATTTTTAGTGTTTTGTGTGTAGACTTGCTTTAGGATTGATACTGTATGGTGAGGGCTGTCTGGAGAATGGCCTTTTGTCTGCTTAAAGGGTTGCACAGGGTACAAGCAATATATAGATGCAGTGTTGATCATCTGTAAAAATGCCCCTAAGAGTGATGCAGTCCCTGAAGCGAACTCTAGGCATTATCAAGGCAGGGACGCAATATAGTTAGCATTGCTTTGGTTTTGCTAGTGTCAGTAGGTAGTAAAAATATTTATCAGTTTTCTGATGTTTGTTAATGACTTGATGTCTTTAGTGGCGACTACACCTATATATAACTTCAGTACTGTTAACAAACACATATGTGAATACTTTCCTAGTAAATGGTTGCATTGATGGCTCAAAGTATTACCTTGTGTGTCCTTGGTTTTCTGCTGTTTTTCTTCCTCTAGTTTTCTAGGCTAAAGTTTATAAATATTATAAGCGTGCGTTCTTTACAGTAATTTTAATTTTGTTTTTGGTTTTTCTATAGTAGTCTCAGCAGTAGGGAATATTACGTTTTGCTATATGTGAATGAATCCTCTTGCAGGTGACAGACAGAATGCAGCAAAGATGGACCTGTCAGACATCTTGCCAGAACACCTGGAGAAAGAACTCAAATGGGCAGCTGAGATCTCCATGGGGACAGAAATATCTGAAGAGGACATCTTCAACATCAAAAGTTTATGTGACCAGGTACTAATATCTGCATTTAGCTTTCTGTTTATTTGCCTTTCTCCTACTTTTTTGGGGTCCTAACAGCTGTCTACTGTATTCGCTGCATCACTAGGTGCCATCTCACTGTCAGCTATCCAGTCTCACTGACAACTGTCCGGTGTTACCAGTTGGCAAGTTTTTTTTTTACACAATGTTGCTATCTTCACTTCACGTCTAAAAGTGTATTTCTGTAGCCAATTTTCCAGGTCTCTCAGCTTTTATAGCCTGTGCATCTTGTCCTGTATCCACCTTTGCTGATGTCAGCCTTTGCCCCATGTTCCAGAAACTTGTCACTTCTTTGCAGGCCACATGAGTGTTTAACATAGCCAAAATACCCATTCTCAAGACTTCTGTATATTAGCCAATTTATCTGGGATATTCAGTGTGCTGGATATCAGTGTTTTTCTTTTTTCAACATCACCAGTCCTATCCACTCATGGGACACAACCAGTCCACCAGTAGGCAGTCACTGCCACACGCGCATACACACATAACAAATTTTTTCCCAAGTTTCATCTCGTATTTCTTTATTCGTATTCTTCTTGTTATAATCGCTTTCTGGGGGTGAGGGAAAACATTGCTATCATTTGCTAACATTCACCATTGCATACACCACCAGACATTGTTATATAGCTGAGCAGTCACCCAACTCTTTCAGGTGCATACACCATCAGACATAGTTATATAGCTGAGCAGTCACCCATCTCTTTCAGGTGATTGAGATGTCCAAGACCAGGGATGAGCTCTACAGCTACCTGAAGGAACGCATGTCCATGGTTGCTCCCAATCTGACAGTTCTTGTTGGGGAGTTGGTTGGTGCCAGACTCATTGCCCATGCAGGTATGTCTTAGATGGATAGCTATTTCTGCATGCGCAGTTAGTTGAAGAATCACCTGCCAGTGATGAAAATTTTTTTATTGTCAGATCATTTGGTGAAGATTTCACATTCGTCACTACCTCTGAGGCAAATATGTTTTTCACACTTTCGAGCTTTTTTTTGTGTATTTATTGTTGTGTTTAAGGGGTCACTACACAGCATTTTCTCAATTTATGACAAAAAAATCACTTTTTCAATGTGTAATTTTTGTAACCATGTTTTTTCAAACATTTTTCCTGTAGTGACCCCTTAATGTACGTACTATTTTGTTTACTAGGTCTAATTAATTTGACAATAACTGCTAGACCTTTAATCCCATAGAGTTTAGCGTTAGTCACAATCGGGCATCTTGCGTTTATTTTGCTTCTGTGTAGGAACCTATAAACATCTGTAGTGTTCCTTGAGATTGCCATAAGGCACTACATTGTGAAGTTGAAATAGCACCGCTAGTAGATTTATTAGTTCTTTACACTGGCATTTGTCATTCTTGTCTCTTTAATTGAAAGAAGTTACTTTATGATTACGGTCGTTGCACATTAACATTAGCCTCCTGTCGCATAATTGTTTTCCAAAAATTCTATAAAATATCGCCACAAAAAATCTAACCACTTCATGTGTGTTGTAGGAATGGAAAGGTACCCCTAGGTATCTAAGACTCTTGATGTGATATGGGCAGTAGTTAGTAACACAGTCTGCTTTGGACTAAAAGTGTGTGTTTGTTTACCAGCAACATATACCAGTGCCCTCAAGGTTTGTTCCATATCTTGTGGTAGCTGCTCCCATTCCCATAGGTAATTACTTATGCCAATGATGCAAACTATCTTTCTATCTGATGGTTCAGTGAAGATTTTCTTATTCGTCACTACCTCTGAGGCATAGTAATGCACCTTTGTTAAGGATGTAGTAAGCAGCGAACTTGTGTCAGTTATCATAGTTGTATAGTTTTCATGAGGGTTGTCTGTATGAGGTCATGTTCAAAAATTATTCTAACTAACTGTTGTCAGCTATATTATAAGAGGCAATGTTTGCGTTTGTGATTCTGTATTGAGGAAATTGAACTGTTTTGTTCTGATTATGTCCTGGGATTGTTATGGAATAGTGCTAGATGTTGCTTGTTTATGCATAATGTATTTTGTTGAACATATTAAATATTTGAGTCCTGTTGTTAAGGCATTGTGCACCATGAGTGCTCTTTAGTCCAAAGTGGTCCATTTGTTTTTTCTTGGAAGCATTGAGTCATAGGGCCAGATGACAAGTAACTTGACACTAATTTTGTTGGAAGTGGCTTGTGGTGATGATGAAGTTTACTCCAAAACATTCGCGGTTTCCACTAGAAGAACTGCTCTTGTTCTAAAGATGGCCCAATTGCCCTTCCTTGGATGTCTGAACCACAAGTGAATAGTTTACTCAGTTCTGAATAGGTTTAGTAACTGATTGTATAATTTTACATATACAGTGATGCAATCGGTGTAATTATGTCCTGAATCTCTTAATGAGAGCGTGTCCGCAATAGTCTAAAACTTTTAGGAGGGGTGGGTGATTGGGATAGAGTAAAAGTTCCCTGGACTGGATTAAGCTTCTTTTCTTAAAACCCCCTGTGCATAAATAATTATATCTTGCTCTGCCTAATGATTAAGACATTTTACAACAGAAATGCATTTTGTTCATAAATAAATTGTGTCCCCGCTTTTCTTTGAAAGCATTAGTCGTAATTGATGCTAGAATAAGCTCTGGTTTTTGGTGTGTGTTAGCATCCTTTGTTGGAACTGCTAAAAATGTTGAAATAAATTTGTGGTGATGATGAAGTTTACTCCAAAACATTCGCGGTTTCCACCAGAAGAACTGCTCTTGTTCTGAAGATGGCCCAATTGCCCTTCCTTGGATGTCTGAACCGCACATGAATAGACTCAGTATTGCCAGGGTTTAGTTGCCAGTTGTACAATAACAGTACATACACAGGACAACTGTCGGTGTAATTCAGTACTGAATATCTTATTTCTAATCTTAATGAAAACACTGTTTTATCTGTTAGGAATTGAGATGGGGTTGTTTTCTCTGTTAGGGGTTGAGATATGGGGTATAAATTCCCTAGACTGAACTTTGCTAGATGTTGCTTGTTTATGCATAATGTATTTTGTTGAACATATTAAATATTTGAGTCCTGTTGTTAAGGCATTGTGCACCATGAGTGCTCTTTAGTCCAAAGTGGTCCATTTGTTTTTTCTTGGAAGCATTGAGTCATAGGGCCAGATGACAAGTAACTTGACACTAATTTTGTTGGAAGTGGCTTGTGGTGATGATGAAGTTTACTCCAAAACATTCGCGGTTTCCACCAGAAGAACAGCTCTTGTTCTAAAGATGGCCCAATTGCCCTTCCTTGGATGTCTGAACCACAGCTGCTGCTGCCACTGTGTTGAGTGATCTCTTATAGTTGATGGTGGAAAGAATGAATGTTAGCTCAGTGTTTGCAGGCTGTAGCCCCTCTAGGCCTGGGATTGTTATGGAATAGTGTAATTATTGCTGTGATTCTAGTTATGTTCATTTCAGAGCTAGAATAGTGGGATTTGCCTTGATCAGTTGCCAATGATGTTATATTAGCAAGCATAGAGCTAAGTCGTTCCATGTTCTTTAGCAGCCTGCCGCCGGGTTATATTCTCTAAGCGCCTACCATCAGGTTATATTCTCTTAGAGCCTACCATCTGCATATATCTTCTGAGCCAAGTCGGGTTATATTCTCTAGGAGCTAACAAGTCAGATTGTTATCTAGGAGCCAATAGTAAGGTTATGTATCCAGGAGCCAATAGTCAATTTATTTCTCTGAGAGCCAATAGTTGATTGCCAAGTGCCATTTGTCATGTCTTTTATAAGAACTTGTGGTGATGATGAAGTTTACTCCAAAACATTCGCGGTTTCCACCAGAAGAACTGCTCTTGTTCTAAAGATGGCCCAATTGCCCTTCCTTGGATGTCTGAACCACAAGTGAATAGTTTACTCAGTTCTGAATAGGTTTAGTAACTGATTGTATAATTTTACATATACAGTGATGCAATCGGTGTAATTATGTCCTGAATCTCTTAATGAGAGCGTGTCCGCAATAGTCTAAAACTTTTAGGAGGGGTGGGTGATTGGGATAGAGTAAAAGTTCCCTGGACTGGATTAAGCTTCTTTTCTTAAAACCCCCTGTGCATAAATAATTATATCTTGCTCTGCCTAATGATTAAGACATTTTACAACAGAAATGCATTTTGTTCATAAATAAATTGTGTCCCCGCTTTTCTTTGAAAGCATTAGTCGTAATTGATGCTAGAATAAGCTCTGGTTTTTGGTGTGTGTTAGCATCCTTTGTTGGAACTGCTAAAAATGTTGAAATAAATTTGTGGTGATGATGAAGTTTACTCCAAAACATTCGCGGTTTCCACCAGAAGAACTGCTCTTGTTCTGAAGATGGCCCAATTGCCCTTCCTTGGATGTCTGAACCGCACATGAATAGACTCAGTATTGCCAGGGTTTAGTTGCCAGTTGTACAATAACAGTACATACACAGGACAACTGTCGGTGTAATTCAGTACTTAATATCTTATTTCTAATCTTAATGAAAACACTGTTTTATCTGTTAGGAATTGAGATGGGGTTGTTTTCTCTGTTAGGGGTTGAGATATGGGGTATAAATTTCCTAGACAACTTTGCTAGATGTTGCTTGTTTATGCACAATGTATTTTGTTGAACATATTAAATATTTGAGTCCTGTTGTTAAGGCATTGTGCACCATGAGTGCTCTTTAGTCCAAAGTGGTCCATTTGTTTTTTCTTGGAAGCATTGAGTCATAGGGCCAGATGACAAGTAACTTGACACTAATTTTGTTGGAAGTGGCTTGTGGTGATGATGAAGTTTACTCCAAAACATTCGCGGTTTCCACCAGAAGAACAGCTCTTGTTCTAAAGATGGCCCAATTGCCCTTCCTTGGATGTCTGAACCACAGCTGCTGCTGCCACTGTGTTGAGTGATCTCTTATAGTTGATGGTGGAAAGAATGAATGTTAGCTCAGTGTTTGCAGGCTGTAGCCCCTCTAGGCCTGGGATTGTTATGGAATAGTGTAATTATTGCTGTGATTCTAGTTATGTTCATTTCAGAGCTAGAATAGTGGGATTTGCCTTGATCAGTTGCCAATGATGTTATATTAGCAAGCACAGAGCTAAGTCGTTCCATGTTCTTTAGCAGCCTACCGCCGGGTTATATTCTCTAAGCGCCTACCATCAGGTTATATTCTCTTAGAGCCTACCATCTGCATATATCTTCTGAGCCAAGTCGGGTTATATTCTCTAGGAGCTAACAAGTCAGATTGTTATCTAGGAGCCAATAGTCAGGTTATGTATCCAGGAGCCAATAGTCAATTTATTTCTCTGAGAGCCAATAGTTGATTGCCAAGTGCCATTTGTCATGTCTTTTATAAGAACTTGTGGTGATGATGAAGTTTACTCCAAAACATTCGCGGTTTCCACCAGAAGAACTGCTCTTGTTCTAAAGATGGCCCAATTGCCCTTCCTTGGATGTCTGAACCGCAAGTGAATAGTTTACTCAGTTCTGAATAGGTTTAGTAACTGATTGTATAATTTTACATATACAGTGATGCAATCGGTGTAATTATGTCCTGAATCTCTTAATGAGAGCGTGTCCGCAATAGTCTAAAACTTTTAGGAGGGGTGGGTGATTGGGATAGAGTAAAAGTTCCCTGGACTGGATTAAGCTTCTTTTCTTAAAACCCCCTGTGCATAAATAATTATATCTTGCTCTGCCTAATGATTAAGACATTTTACAACAGAAATGCATTTTGGTCATACATAAATTGTGTCCCCGCTTTTCTTTGAAAGCATTTGTCATAATTGATGCTAGAATCTCTGGTTTTTGGTGTGTGTTAGCATCCTTTGTTGGAACTGCTAAAAATGTTGAAATAAATTTGTGGTGA